GAGAATAAGGTTGTAATATGTTTTTGAAGTCTGTAAATATAGCTTGCTCAAGGCTTGTTTTCACGGAAGTATCAATGTTATTCGGTTTTAATTTAGAATGTAAAAAAAATAAACAGGTGTAAATAGCGATTTCGAAAGACACATATACCATACACACATAACATGCTATATCATAACAATTCACAGAACAACCATGCATATCGGGTCTACTATGTGACTGGTCCACCGTGTCGGGCCTTCAGTCCACCGGGTCCACCCTTCGAGTCTAGTCATGTCCCTTGAGTCTGCAGTGTGGTTGGTCCTCCCGCACCGGGCCTTCAACCCACCTGGTCCACTCTCTAAGTCTACAGTATGACAGGTCCGCCCGCATCGGGCCTTCAGTCGGCCTGGTCCACTCTCCGAGCCTCGGCACGTCTGTTCCGCCCTCGTGGGGCCTACAGCCTATCCGGACCGCTCGCTGGGCCTTCGAAATAACCGGTTCGCCCTGGGTATGTTGGCCTACAACATAAAGCAGGTACCGCCTCAACCCAACCCCAGTCAACAACCATGTGCACATAAACATACAATCATATAACAATTCACATTCAATCAAACCGATCTAGCAGATCACGTAACATGGCATACTCTAAGCAGGATACCGACCTAACCGGTCACTAGCATAGCATCACCCTATATACCAAGATACCGACCTTAACCAGGTCTCTAACATATATCATCCTAACTACCAGGATGCAAACATAGTAAAACAACAATACCCGGATTACAATCCGATAAAGGCCCGGCCTTGGTGCCTTAGACCCTGTTGATATAGTGAGGATAACTCACCTCGCAACTGCCGACTTAAAGATAAGACCGAGATGCTCCGACCACTGACACGATCTCCACCACTGGCCAACACCAACACTGAACTCAAAACAAAAGCCAACAATTACCAAAATACCCCTGGAAGCCAACTGGTCAACCCTTGGTCAAAGTCAAAGTCAAAGTCAACCTCCTAACTGACTCTACTTGCCCAAGGATTTGTTTATATGATAGTTTATACTTGTTGTCTGTGTGATACATGTATGTGCCTGGTAGGGAGGTGAGTGTGGGCGAGGTCCCATATCTCACCAATAGCAGAGTGTGGATGGGGTTCCATATCTCATTAGTAGCAGAACAGGGGAGAGGCCTAAGTTATGGGAAGAGTGAGAGTGGGTTGGGCCCGTATCTCACTACCAGTAGGAGAGTGGACGGGGTTCCATGGCTCATCAGTAGTAGGACAAGGGCGAGGCCCAGGATAGGCGAGGCCTTAGGACAGGATCAGTCGTATGAGTTTAGCTTATGTGTTGTGATATGTTTATGTGTTATTATTTGTTGACGGGCGAGGCCCTGTGACAGGCGAGGCCTAAGTGAAACAGATATGTATCTGAGCACGGCTCGAAGCCAGGCGGGGCCTGGAGCGGCGGGGCCGTTATAACGGGTGAGGCCCGAGGCAGGGGGCGAGGCCGAAGATAATGGGCGTGGCCCAGTATGTGCAGTATGTGGTTATGCATGGTATGTGGTAGGGTGGGGAACTCACTAAGCTTCGTGTGCTTACCGTTTTCAGTTTTGATTTCAGGTACTTCCGGTAGCGGAGGGAAGAACTCGGGGTGATCGCATGATACACACCATTGATTAGACAGTTTGGGAATGTTTACTCTAATAATGAACATGTGTTTTTGAAAATTAATACTCTGATTATGTTTTGGAATGATGACTTTGCTTAAAGTAATGTATTATTAAAAGAAATTTTTGGTCTTGAATTTTAGGTCGTTACAAGTTGGTATCAGAGCCTTGGTTTTAGGGATTCGAACATGCTCTCGGGTGTGTCTGAACTCAAACTGAGGAATTGGTATAGAAGTTTTCAAAATGAAAAGACAGTTTTGTAAAAAGAGAGTTTGAGTAAGAAAACAGTTTTAGAAAAGCAAAAAGAATTCAGAAAGAAAAGAACTTTGAATAGAGAAAAGAGGTGTGGTGCATGCAATCAATTGAGCTCAAGTAAGTACCCCAAAATACCCATACAGGTCTATGTTTTGATTATCAATTAATAGAACAACATGTTAGATTAGGACTAAAGATCTAGGGAGGATGCATTATGTGCCTGTTATATGTGCTTTTGAGCTGCATGATAGTACTGGTTGGACAGTAGTAGGATAGCCTGTTTAGGTTATGCCTGAGTTTATGAGTTTGTGTTGCATGCTAGTTCAGATTCTTGGTACGATATTATGATTGCTTGAGTATGTTATGGTTAGATTTTTCCCTTTGTCTGAATGTTGCTTGCTTTGTGCATTGTGGGATTCTGAGTGATGGGAGTTAACCATTAGGTGGATACGACACGTCACATGTGATCAGGGTTGAATAATCTCAGAGTGTTGGATTTGGTCTTATTGCGCAACTCTTGTTTGAGTCCAACCGTTGTAGGGACGAGTCTTTTACTTGACGGATTATCTGAGCCTCGTCACATGTGATGGTATCCAGGTGATGGCTAATTGGCATCACAAGGAGACCTTCAGCAGCTGAGGACTGGTTTGAGTTGAGTCAGAGGTTTCCCTAGGGTAAGCCTAGGATGAGGTAGTGCTGGGAGCAGTGGCGGTAGAAAAGGGACCTGGTAGAGTCGAAGCAGTTCTTGAGGAAAGTACGGATAGATGTGGAAGGTAATATGATCCCGTACTACTGAAAGCAGAGGATCCATACTCGATTCGGGAAAGACCGAGACAAGACCGGGAACCTGGTAGTGAGTATGTTTGGTCTCGCAGCAGTGAGGAGTATTTTGATAGTGGGTATGTTATATGTTTCAGTATGGTGACGTTGCGAGAGAGACCAGCGGGCGGATCAGGCACCGAAGAGGGATCAAGCTCGGGTTCAAAGGCCGAGCAGCTCGAGGAGCGGATGAGAGAGTTGATATCAGCTGAGGTTACGCGCAGTATTCAAGCTCAGACTCCTGTGATCTTTGGCACGGTCAAGGAGGGTATATTGGAGATTTTGGATGAGAGGCTGGGAGCCTTCCATACTGAGATAATGGCATTGATGGGAGCGCATACCTTGACATGTAGTTATGAGTAGAAGACTCGAGGGTTAGCCCTAGGCATAGTATGCTAGTATGATATTCAGGATGAGGTCCATTAATAGCGGGCGGGTGCCCAAGGATTTGTTTATATGATAGTTTATACTTGTTGTCTGTGTGCTACATGTATGTGCCTGGTAAGGAGGTGAGTGTGGGCGAGGTCCCGTATCTCACGAATAACAGAGTGTTGATGGGGTTCCATATCTCATTAGTAGCAGAACAGGGGCGAGGCCCAAGTTAGGGGAGGAGTGAGAGTGGGCTGGGCCCGTATCTCACTACCAGTAGGAGAGTGGACGAGGTTCCATGGCTCATCAGTAGCAGGACAGGGGCGAGGCCCAGGATAGGCGAGGCCTTAGGACAGGATCAGTCGTATGAGTTTAGCTTATGTGTTGTGATATGTTTATGTGTTATTATTTGTTGGCGGGCGAGGCCCTGTGACAGGCGGGGCCTGGAGCGGCGGGGTCGTTATAACGGGCGAGGCCCGAGGCAGGGGGCGAGGCCCAAGATAGTGGGCGTGGCCCAGTATGTGCAGTATGTGGTTATGCATGGTATGTGGTAGGGTGGGGAACTCACTAAGCTTCGTGTGCTTACTGTTTTCAGTTTTGGTTTCAGGTACTTCCGGTAGCGGAGGGAAGAACTCGGGGTGATCGCATGACACACACCATTGATTAGACAGTCTGGGAATGTTTACTCTAATAATGAACATGCGTTTTTGAAAATTGATACTCTGATTATGTTTTGGAATGATGACTTTGCTTAAAGTAATGTATTATTAAAAGAAATTTTTGGTCTTGAATTTTGGGTCGTTACATAAGTGATATGAATAAATCAAATACATGTCTTTAACTTCATTTAATTTTATTCTATATAGAAATCTAGATACTAAAACTATACACTTGGTTGATTTTTCATTATAATTTTTTGTATGTAGTTTTATATTTTTATTATAAATTACACGAATTTTGTATGTACGAAATTTTATATTTAAAATGCAAACAAAACCAAAAAACACCAATTATTAATCCTATCCATTCACTATTCAATATGTTTTTTTGGGGTTAATGAACTTTGAAGTGTAAATCGGTTTAGGTTATAACTATGTTTGATGTATGGGTGAGTATTTGGATTTTTGGACCGAAAACCGGGCATAAACCTGGACCTGATAAGCTTTAACAGACCTAGTCCAAAGTCCATAAATTTCTGCAAAATAGGCCCGATCCAAGAGCAGACCGGTTCGGTCCGGTCCAAATGCTCACTTTTACGTCCAAGAAGTGGGAACCGGTCCTAAACCGGGTAAGCCTTAAGAAGTCTAGTCCAAGATCGACCAATTTTTATAAAACCAGCCCAGTCCGATCCAGATGTTCATCTTGGGTATTTTTTCATATGGTGAAATCTGGGTGTATAGTTTGATCGGGAGAGCTTGGTGTGAGTTTTTCTATATTTGTGAATTTATTTATTTATTTTTTCACATAATTACATATGCACAGGTCCAATTCTTCGTATTTGACAATTTTCCCCTTCACAAAAGGGGATGGAATGGGATGGGTCATTTTTACGGTAGAAGGATGTTCACCGATGTGGCTTTATGTTGGAATTAGACTAAAGCACTTTGCCATTTGTATCTTGCCCTCGGTATCTCGTTGCCTCATATGTTTTATCTATTAAAATTGAAATGTATATGGTGTTGTGTTTTGGTGATGTCATGGCTTTCAATTTAAAGTACCTTGCCCTTTGTACTTGCCCACAATAGTTCGTGCATGAAGAATCTACTTGAACTCTTTTGGTATGTTTTATGAATCTATGATGAACTCTTTTGATATGTTTTTGGATTAACTTTGATTCTGTTATATTGTAATCTTTGGTAAAACTTTGTTTGACCAGTAGTTTTTGCTCTTTATTTTAGATATTGTTTAATGTTGACAAATGTATGTTATTAAAAATAGACTTACTATTATAAAAATCATATATTTTCATATTTCTGCTATTTAAACATTTTGTCTTAGCAACGTTTTTCTTGGTATAATAATATAACTAAAACGCTAACTAAATATACATAATACATTAACTAAATATGACATCAAAAAGAAAAATTATAATCTAGATTACTACGTACAAAAGTTGAGCACGTCTACACTATCATAAAAAGAAAAAATGAGTTAAATAAAGGTCCAACGCATGAAGTCTTCTATATACACCACCTCTCTCTCTCTCTCACATGTGACAGAGGAATTCAAGTAATAAATTAGAGAAAAAGGGAGGATAATCGAGAAAAATGGCGGGCATCAAAGGCACTGGTAGTCGAGTCGAGGAGCCAACACTTGTACCCTTGTTGGATCATACATCTTCAAACGTCGACTTGGTTTCAAAAACCTCAGACCAGCAAGACCTCGATCTCTCATTTCGACACCGGTTCTTGATTGAATCCAAGAAGCTATGGCACATAGTCGGCCCCGCCATCTTCAGCCGCATAGCCTCCTACTCCATGTTTGTCATCACCCAAGCCTTCGCCGGTCATCTTGGCGATCTTGAGCTCGCCGCCATCTCCATTGCTACCAGTGTCATTGTCGGCTTCGACTTCGGTCTTTTGGTAATATCTTTACTCTTTTCGAGATTTTGATTTCTGTTGATTTCTCTGAGATTCTAAACATTTTCATGTGGGATTTAGTTGGGGATGGCGAGTGCTTTAGAGACGTTATGTGGACAAGCATATGGAGCGAAAAACTATCGAATGTTAGGAGTGTATCTACAACGCTCATGGATTGTACTCTTCTTATGTTGTATTTTACTTCTACCGTTGTACATCTTCGCTTCACCGGTGCTGAAACTGCTCGGACAACCGGCAGACATATCGGAGCTCTCCGGTAAGGTGTCTATGAGTTTGATACCACTCCATTTCAGCCTTTGCTTTCAGTTCCCATTACAAAGATTTCTTCAGAGTCAGCTTAAGACGTATGTGATTGCGTGGGTGTCACTCGGGGCGCTGGTGGTTCATTCGGTGATGAGTTGGCTGGTTGTGTACAGACTTCAGCTGGGACTGGTTGGAACGGTGGTGACTCTGAACTTCTCATGGTGGCTGATCGTTATAGGGTTGTTCTGTTTCTCGGTATTCGGTGGTTGCCCGGAGACCTGGGGTGGGTTTTCCATGGAAGCCTTTACTGGACTATGGTCATTTGTCAAACTCTCCGCCGCCTCCGGCGTCATGTTGTGGTAATTATCTCAGTTTCCGGTGCTTGGATTGACATTCTGTAACTATCGTATCTTGCTTGCAGCCGTATCAAAAGATTCGAAAAGAATCTAGTACCTTCGTAAGACAAGACTCGCGAAGCTTCATTTATTTAACACGAATGTTTTTTTTTCGAAAATTGCAGTTTGGAGAACTGGTACTACAGGATACTTATCGTGATGACTGGGAACCTTGAAAACGCAAAAATTGCTGTGGATGCTTTGTCTATATGGTAATAAATTAATAATTCTCGTGGTCTAAATTTCTTTATTTGTATTTTTTTGTGTGGTCGTTTTGTTTTTGGTAATCATTATATTTTGTATATATGATATATGATTCTTTATATCTTGTTTTTTAGCCTTTTTGTGACATATACTGTCTTTCTTGTGTGTCCACATATGTTTTGGTCAGTGATTACATCACGTTTTTTGTTTTTTCTAATTATTTTTTTATGTTTAAAGGGCTTTTTTGGAAAAAAAAAAAAAAATAGAATATATTAATTAATAACGTGGACGATGAAAAATCCTACTTGACATATACCATATTCGGACTTTTTTTATGTGGACCCATGAGATATATTATAATTTTAAAAGGTATGTATGTATCATATGTAGTTTGTAATTTTTTAGGCAATACATAAGTTTAAATTATATATCAGTCAAAATTAATAAATGTTTACATGTTTTTATTGTGTAGCATGTCTATTAATGGCTTCGAACTCATGATCCCTCTTGGATTCTTTGCTGGAACGGGGTATGTTTGTTAACATTAATTTACATTCATATTGCATTTTGCCATGACTGAAAATGTATCTAATTACATGTACTTATTAATACTTTATATGAACAGAGTTAGGGTTGCAAACGAGTTAGGAGCAGGAAACGGGAAAGGTGCTAGATTCGCTACCATAGTTGCAGTTACCACATCTGCAGTGATAGGCCTCTTCTTTTGGCTCTTGATCATGTTATTCCACAACGAGCTAGCGTTAATATTCACCAACAGTGAACCTGTCTTGGATGCTGTAAGCAAGCTTTCACTTCTCTTGGCCTTCACCATTCTTCTCAACAGTATTCAACCCGTTCTTTCAGGTAAACACCTCCTCATTTTAAATCAATATTCTCTCGGTTTTTCAAAGCTCTACAATCACTAATGCACAAACTATGTAATCTGATAGGTGTTGCTGTTGGTTCTGGATGGCAGTCATATGTAGCGTACATTAACTTAGGTTGCTACTACTTGATAGGTGTCCCGATGGGTCTTGCCATGGGATGGCTTTTCCATCTCGGTGTCATGGTACAAGTTCTTCTCTTACAAGTGACTGAAATTTATTGGACTCGCTTAGATGTGACATGACATGACTAGATAGGCTTAATTATAGGGTCATTTTCTAAAGAGGATCGGTCCTTTTGTCCTGTTGATATTAGTTTCATTGAGAGTATAATGTACAATATGTCTTCATGTCATGTCATTTGTGACCTTATTTGCTTTTTTTTTTTTTTTTGTGTGCAAAATCCAACATTTGTACATGTGGTTTTTTAGGGTATTTGGGCTGGAATGATTTTCGGAGGAACCGCGTTTCAAACGGTTGTATTGGCTATTATTACAAGCCGTTGTGATTGGGAAAAGGAGGTAAGTTAAATCCGAACGTAGAATTTTTGTTCAAATTAACTCGGTAAAATTATAAGAAATCTTATTTTAAACGTAACTTTGTGGTGAAATCTGGCAGGCACAGAGAGCAAGTATGCATATTAAGAAATGGGCAGTTGTGCATTGATCATGACAAGTTGATATCTCAATTGGTTCACAAAAATTTGGTACCAATAACGTCTTTCTTTGTTATTATATTTTTGGCGTTGCAAAAAGGAAATGTAATTAAAGTAATTCATTAGAAATTTTGTACCGAAAATTTGTTAGGTTGTTCGGTTTTACCATTTCCTTTGATCTATATGTGACAATACCAGAATTCCATAAGGAGTAGGTTTGATCCTGTCATTGTAAGAAATTATCAAAATTTGGTTAAATATGTTAGAAATTGGGGGCTGCAAAAGAGGACGTTGATACTTAAAATAAAACCTAGATATCTATTTGGATCGTGTTTGTTCACTATGCTTAAAATATAGTTCGACACGATTAATGTCCGAGCTGTATTAAATTATAATTCAGGGATAATCCAAAACAGATGGTCACTTGGGTTTTAAGCACAAAAACTTGAAGTCTAGATCTAGATTCATATTAAACTACGTTTATAAAAAAATTGCTAATAGTCATGAACAAAAACTTGAAGACTAGATCTAGATTCAATATTAAACTACACATAGATAAAGATCACCAAATGAATGACCCCATACATGCAAAGCGAATACTTTGAAACTTGAAGAAAAGTTGTGTCACAGAGGAAAAGAGAAGAGAACGCAGAGGGATCTTGGTTTGAGGGCGTCGAATAAACGAGACCCGAGACTGCTTTTTGTACTAATTTGAAAACTCTATCGCCAAAATCGAATCTGATGACCTCTCACTGGTTGTCACGTGTCAATTCGAATACATGATAAACCATAAGATTTTGTGACATCATCGGGAATCTCATATGATTCTAAACCTAGAACTTATGAAGTTTCTGGCGACTTCTAGAAGAATTCTTTTGTTTATCCACAAAGTCAATGCGTGGTGAACATGTTGATCGGGTTGGTTCAACCCAACCTGACCAAAAACTGCTAAAAATAAAAGCTCATCAGCTCCCAGCAATGTAGAAACTGCAACGTGCGCCTAAATCATATCATTTTATGAACCTTGCATCTCATTCCTCGACCCGAATCGGCGTGTGTATATATATATATATATATATATATATATATATATATATATATATATATATATATATATATATATATATATATATATATGGGCTTGGCCAATCCCTTAACCTTAACCAAAGTCTTTGAAGGGGCACATATGAGCTTGGACACTCCTTAATCTTATAAACTCACAAAAGTTCCTTTCTCCTTCCAATGAGGTATAATGGAAAATTGCAACTTGATATAATTAATTAAATTTCCAACAATTCCTTGCAAAGTTGGAAAAATACATTTCAGTCATACAAATGATGTCACCTCTATTATGAAGAATAAACACAAGTTTAATATTAATAAACATAAGAGACTGGTTCAATGATATCCTATGAATTTAAACCACATGTTGGAAATATGACAATTATTACAACATGTTAGTGACGTAATAGTTGCATGAGTTTATACGACGCTATACACTCGGTTCAAGATTATGTAGCAAGAACAATAAATGAGAGAGATTAATCAGGTAATTAATTTATTATTTATTTAAGTGTCAATAAATAATTAGAAATTAATTAACTAATTTTTTGTTCTTAAAGAGTTAATAAATGACTAGAAAATAATTATTAGAATTTAATAAATTATGCTAAAAGTCTAAGGATGATTAATGGCTAATTCTAGAAGATAAATTATGATAGAATTTTCAAACAAGTGAAATCAAAATCACCAAAGCGGATGACATTCAATCGCTGGTGTATTTTTGGATAAAACATAAGGGTTCGATGGGCACTATTAGGTAGTGTGATTGGGGAATTTCTTCTTTTTTATTGTAACTTATCAAACTTTACATGTTTCACTTATTTATTTATTTATTTATTTATTTTTTCTTTATGTTGGGCTTCATCTAGCTTTTGGCTAAATGATGACCCTTAATAATATTTTTAGCCGTTTTCAAAAAAAAAAAAAAAATCATAATAATATAATCGCAAAGAATTAAATTACTAATTTAACTGGATAATCCTTTTCATTCAAATATGAAATGTTTTGAATTCCATAACTTAAACACATGTTCTACTTTGGACACACTAATCTACAACACCAACCTATGTTAGTAGATTACTTTTTAGATTAATATGGTAATTATTATCATTTGATTAACTTTCATTATAACCTAATTATTCTTAATTGATTATATAATGATTATTTTTTAGTACTAATTTTATTAATATTACTTAATTTAATTTTTAATTGTTTTATTACTAACTCGTTTTTTAACTGCATATTCCTTTTTTAGTTCTTTTTTATTTATTTATATTTTATTTTCATTTTATATTTTAAAATTACTGTATATTATATATTTTTGTATGGTTCAATCAAAAAGCTTATGATAGTTTGTTATATATATATATATATATATATATATATATATATATATATATATATATATATATATATATATATATATATATATATATATATATATATATATATATATATATTCTAAAAACACTTTATTTTTAAAACACTTTATCAAAACAATTAATGTGAACTCGCAGAAGTTTTATTTTTATTTTTTTCAGAAAAAAATCCATTAATTAAACTACTTTCATAAAATAATGTCGATATATATATATATATATATATATATATATATCCGTTTGTAATAGAAATAATAACTTATATTATACAATATAAATATAATTATTATATTTATTAAAATAAAAGCTTTGTATTCTTATATATCATTTTTTTTAAGTCACATATATCATTAGACTTATTTTTTAAGTTATTATTACCATATCATTTAGCCTTATCACTATATTCAACATAATTTTCTTACAACCTAATCATTTCATTTCAACAATTTTATTACTTAATTACTATATTTTTATTATTATTATTATTATGATTATTATTATTATTACTTTTAGTATTAACTTATATTTTCATCAAACCGGCATATAATGTAAGCAAATTTTACAAGGTAAGTGCATGGGAACATGAGAGTGCTTGGTTACATGTTGAGTAATTTCCTAATTATCCCCTAAACAAAAATGAGGTGTCAAGGCATTATAATCCCCATTAATCCTTTTTTCTTTTCTTTTTTTGTTTTGCATGTATATATATATATATATATATATATATATATATATATATGTGTGTGTGTGTCTATATATATATATATATATATATATATATATATATATATATATATGTATGTATGTATGAATGTGTGTGTGTGGGCCGATTTTGTTGGGATTTAAAAGGAAAGAATGGGTTTTCTTGGGCCGTTCATAACTTTGTTCGAATTTCATAGACCCATAATTACTTCTCAGCCCATTGGGTTTCTTTGAATGGTTCTCGACCCAATTAGCATAAAAGGATGGGTTTTATGGCCCATTAGGGCTAATTAAATTAGTTATGGCCCAAAAAAGCTCATTAAAGTAATTTATTCCCTTTTAGGCCCAATATGGCCCAAAATGTTAAATCTCATGATGGTGGGTCCAATTAGAGTCCAATTAAGGGTTCTAAGCCCACATTAGTCAAATTGGAAACTCATTGGTCCATTAGGCCCAATAAGGAACTCCTAGTCCATATTGGACTTAAACCGAAATCTTTAGGGTTTCCGAACTTTCGTTGACCAATTGAAGTATTTGTATAGAGTTTTTGATGGAGTTATGTTGTCATTGAATAAACATACAACATGCTTTCAAAATTTTGGTTACAATGGCTATCATTGTTAATGTTTACAAAAGCATAGAATTTCTTGGTTGTGACATCAGCCGACCAGTTGCGTTATCGGATGAGGAGGTTGTAGTTTCCTTAGAGTGGGTGCGGTTCATAGCGATTCAGCGTGAGAAATGTTTAGCCACTCTTGAGAGAGTGAGGACAGGACGAAGGTGCACCTGAGATGCTGGGAAATAGAGGCAGAGAGTTTTGTATGAGGATGTGTCTGATTTTGTTGTGTTTAGTGTCAATCGACTCCTCTTCTTGAATGCTAATTGATTTATGCTTCGTGGAAATTTAGGTGATGGGAGTTAGCTACTAAGTTAATATGTTAAGTCACATTTGAAAAGGGTTGAATAATCTCAAAGTGATGGATTTGACCTTATTGCACAACTCTTTTCTGAGTCTAACCATTGTAGGAATGAGTCTGTTACTCGAAGGATTATCTAAGATTTATTGCATGTGATTGTATTCATGAGGTGGGTGACTGGCATTATGAGGAGTTCTTCAGCAGCTGATGGCATGGTGAGGTCGGGAAGCTAGGAAAGCCTAGGGATTTCTTTAATAGGTTTTGTTTCAATAGTTAGCAAGTATTGTTATATGGATTTGAGAAGGTGACTTAGAGGATTTAGGTGGATTCTTAAGGAAAGTATGGATAGGTGTGGAAGGTAGTATTGGGCCTATACTACTAAAAGCACAAGATCCACACTCGAATCGAGGATAGTCTTGGAGAATCTAGAAAGCCTGTGGGATGAAGATTCATGGGTATATTCGGATCTTGGGCATGTTGTCTCAGTAAGGTATTGAGCACTCAGGAATGGGGTTCAGATTTTGGTTTCCGACTCAGGAGCAAGTACTGAGCCGATCGATGTGCGGTCTTGGGAATTCATCTCATCAGAGATTACTCGTGGTGTTTCGGATTGGACCTTGGTGGTCTTTGGTTCAGCCAAGGAAGGGACTTTGGAGCTCTTGTGTGACAATCATCAATCTTGAGTCAAGTCAAGTCATCAAGTCAAGCCGGTCAACTCTATTAAACCTTGTGTATTAGGGTTTGTGTTATGTTCATACTGTATAACTTGCTATATTAATGGGAAAACATCACTTGAGAAAAGTCTTGTGTTAAAAATTTCCTAAGCCTTAGTGCTAATCAATGAACTAAACTGATGAAAACCATGTTGCATACTCATTAGGAGTGTGTGGGATCCTTAATCATGACTTAACGGGGCTCAAGAGACTTGCATGACGGAGCCAAACACTCACAAATGCCACACTTGAAATCTCTCTCAAATATCTCTCTGTATGAGAAATCTCTCCAAGAATGTCAAATCTCTCCCAAATCTCTCCAAGTGTGTGAAATCTCTCTCAAATATCTCTTTGTATGAAAAATCTCTCCAAGAATGTCAAATCTCTCCCAAATCTCTCCAAGTATGTGAAATCTCTCTCAAATATCTCTTTGTATGAAAAATCTCTCCAAGAATGTCAAATCTCTCCAAGTATGTGAAATCTCTCTTAAATATCTCTTTGTATGAAAAATCTCTCCAAGGATGTCAAATCTCTCTCAAATCTCTCCAAGTATGTGAAATCTCTCCCAAATCTCTCTCAAGTATCTCTCTGTATGAGAAATCTCTCCAAGAATGTCAAATCTCTCCCA